CTTCTTACTTAATCCGACTGCGTATCTGCCATTTCTTTGACCACCGAGTAGTACCACAAAATTGAAATTAGATAGATGTAAAATATAATAATTGTAATCTTAAATTTAAAAAAAAAACTTATATAATTATACATACACTGAGAACAAGAAAAACCTAAATAATTTACGTGACCTGTGGGGCCTGGAGCCATCGCGGGTTAATCATTTGAAAATTCGGTGGTAAGATTATAAATATCTACTGATGTACTGTGGTAGGGCTTCACTTGAATTATAGGGAGAGTATTATAAGTGAGATAGTGCATGATAAGCAATTTTATATTATTATCCCAATTGGGACTATCATCTGTTGAAATTAAAAAGAAAAACACATTGATATTTAATCATTCCACGAAATTATATTTAGAAAGAATATGTGCATAATAACCTTAGATAAAAGAGACCGGAGATGTAACATTGCACACTGCGCATGTTGTCCGTTTCTCCCTCACGTAACCCACCAATTGAAATTCATTATTTCTACGACGCCACCCGAATTGCTCCGAAATAGTCATTTCTATTCTACGCTCACCTCCCTGAGTTTAATCACCATTGACATTGACCGCTGTTTTTTGAATTGTATGTTGGTGTTATTAACAATTTAAAGTGTTCTACCTATTCAGTTTTAGGTTCAAAATGCCACGATGTATCGTGAAAAATTGTATATACCTATAATAAAAGTGCCAATGTTATAAACGATAAGAAATATTATGTTCGTTTTCACCGGTAAATATGTATTATTAATATTTTGACATAACCGCCATGCTCCTTTGTTGAATTAGTCAGATCCGCATTAAGGTATTTCTCCAAATATTTCGTATCGAATATTTTAGAAAACATATTTTATAGTACTTACTTATAGTTATAAATAAACCAAAGGACAAAATTTTGAACATTTAATTGAGTTTTACCGAAGGTAGGTAGTAAGTCTTTTTTGGTGCGTAAAATAAGAAGTAAAGTAGCATATTTACTAACGAAATCTTGTTTTAAAAATATAGATTTATAAGAATATTTAATAAAGGTAGTTTTTAGCCCTTTTTGGTACATACATAAGAAGTAAACAAGCATAGTTGCTAAAGAAATTTTGGTTTTAAAAAAGTAGTTTTATAAGACTATTAAATAAAATACAGGATAATATGCAAAAAATTTAAAAGTTCATCCTATTTTCAGTCAAAACTGAAATTAATTTTGTGCCTATTAGTCTTAAAACCAAGTAAAACTTTCAATATGACATATAAGCTAAAAATAATAATATTATAGTTACGAGGGGTAGGTCGAAAATATTGTTATTAAAGTGTTACATTATAAAATTTAAAAATCGAGATCAAAAAATAAGAATCACTAAATTTTGAAGATAAATACTCGGATAAAAGCAAGCGACTGACGCCTTTTATTAGATTTAAATTTTAAAATATTTTTGGTTTCAGAGTATGCATTCTTAAAATTGTATGTGACACATACTCTATATTTTTTAGTATTCCAAAAGAAAAAAGTTTAAGAGATAAATGGATACTTGCAATAAATGTTAATAAAGAAGATGTTTTTAGCACTTCCCGTGTATGCCACTACAATTTTAGTGATGATTCATTTGATTATAAAAAATCTCCCTTTGCTCTACATTTGAAAAAAATTGCTATACCCAATCAGGTAATTTTTAATAAATATGTATTAATCATGGAATTATTTTTAATTAGGTGCTTATTCAAAATATTTCAATTTAATATTTATTAATTTGAAAGCTTATAGAACTGCCTCCAAAATCAAAACCAAGCTTGGGACATTATCACCAAAAAACCCCCCCTCGATCTGCTGAACGAAAGAAATATAAAGTAAGCTATATTGAATTATGTTATTTGGCAAATCTCGTTTATTTCTAAATAATCGTAAAGAGTGAAAGAACATATTGTTTACTTACAGGCTAGTACTTCAAACTCTCAAACTAGCTTGGAATATTATCACGAAAAAACACCCCCTCAATCTCCTGAACGAAAGAAACAGAAGGTAAGTAATAGTAAATTATGTTGTCATTTGGTAAATCTCGTGTATTTCTAAATAATCTTAAAAAGTAACAGAACATACTTTTTACTCTCTCTGCATCTCTCACTATCTCTGCATCTCTCTCTATATATATCTCCCTATCTCTCTCTTTCTATCTCTCTTTATCTCTCTCTCTCTCTCTCTTTCTATCTCTCCTTCTCTCTTTGGTTTTATAACTTGCTTCATTTTTTTGTATTTACTATTTATTTATTGTTTTACTTATTTTTTTATATAAATAATACAATAAACAACATAATAATACAATTTGAGTTTGATTTCTGGACCCTTTTCTCTCTTATTACGACACCCAAAAATATATCTTTACTTTTGCATCACTTTTTCACATAAGTCTGTAGGAAAGATATCGTCTAAACGTATATAATATACCCTTATCTACAGTCTATAGTGTTGTCGCAACTCAATTTTTAATATGTATTAGCCTTAGAAAAAAACATGTTCAACTCACAAGGAATCCTCATTTCTTACTCTTCCTATTTACAATATTCTCCTGCTGCACATGTTGCAAATATAATACTGGTAGACAATGAGTACCATTTTTGCTCATAAACGATATTATATTTTGACATTTTATTGTAGTATCTTGTGGAAAAATTAAACGATAACGAAATATTCTATAAAAGAACTTTTGTTTTCTATTATAGAATATTTCGTTAGCATTTAGTCACTACGGACATTGCCGCAAGGGACTAGAATAAAATATCGTTGCTTCTGTTTAATATTAATAAAATCACATTAATTTTATTTCATAATAAAACATTCCATTTAAACATCTTTTAAGTATATCTAATAGTTCATCGTGTTTTTAATAAACCAAGTCCGCCCCTGTCACAGACTTCGAATCTCCTCCCAGTTCCCCCACTCCGTTAACCTTTCTTTAGAAATTGGCAACATTCGCGCAGCACAAATACCGGTATATGTAACATCTCTGGTCTCTTTTATCTAAGATAATAACCAATATGCTAATGATTGACACTGAAAATATGGTTTGTATTGAAAGAATTACAAGTAATTGTAATGTACAACGGCGATAATATAACACTGGAACACTGTTATACGTTAAATTAGAGATGACGTATTTTTGGTTTCACTGACAATTACAGTGACAGATTTTGTTTGAATGCGTTTTGTTTACCTAACTTATATTATAAAAATATTTTTTAGAGCAAAAGTAGATATAACATGCATCAAGTATATTATCATTTACCCATAACATTTCTGAAATATTTCAAAAATATTTGTAATCAATCTTCCTCCATTTCTTACAAATCAGAAATTCTTCAATAAGTCAATTGATTGTTGGTTTTTACAACATAACCCGTTTAGTAACTTTTTTTTGTGTCATCGGCATCAACTGCTATGGTTATTAGCATCGTGTTCTGTGTAGGCTTTGTTACTGTTTCCCAGCGCCACTTTAGGAACAGCACTGTTAATTAGTACCCAACAGTGAATGGTCGAGTGGGGAATCCTACCAAGACATCAGAATTAATTTTAAATAATTAAATTAAATGAAAAAATCCCGGCCAACGGTGGGATTCGGACCTGGGACCCTTGGATCCGCAGGCAGAGATTCTACCCCTGGGCCACCCACCCCCCAGTAACCTTTTATGTAACATGTATACCATGTTTCAGAAACATTTTCAGTTAAGTAGGTATTTAACTAAAATATTTCAGAAACCAGTGATTGAAATTTTATATGTTTAAAACTTATGAAATATTTCTGAAACACTTCTGAAATAATGTGTGCTGTATGTTTAGTAAACAATTACATTCCTTTAAACTACTTGTATGACTTGCAAAATATATTAAAAAAAAAATGAAAACAGTAAAAACATCAAATATTGTTAAAAGTTTGCTTAGAATTAACTGTCAGTGAAACCAAAATTATGGCGTATTGTCACTTATTAACAAACATTCACTGAATTATATTGGTCGAAAGGAGCGCCACGTGATGTTGGAATTCCCAGTAAGGTAAGATTAGTGCAATTTATAGATGACGGTCAACTCTGGAAGTGTAGGAAACACTCAATATATCTAAATTCGCATAGGTACTCGATGAGTGGTGTTTGTGTTCCTCTCGGCAGTCGAAAGTAGCGCATTTTTATACAATTATGTTAACCCGAGGATCCTTCGAAATAAAGATGAGACGCTTAATTATATTTGCATGTGAGAAAAAATAAATGGAGACTCTCGTGAATTGGCTGTCTGCCGTGATTGGACAGATAGATACACCTCTACCGCTAGTGGGCTGGCGCGTAATGTTCTACCTCTGTCTAATCAATAGCATCACTTATTCTATACCGTTCTTCTGGTGTCATTGTGGGAAACTTACTCTATGTGTGTGTCCGACTTATTGTAAATTGTTTAGATGCCTAATTTTCATTTATTATTTGCTAGACTTCTTAATTTGGACGAAAAATATAAAATATTGCGGAACAGTCTTCATATGTGGAACCTTAGATTCGCAAAGTTTACATGATTAAGGAACTACTGAGTCTTGAATTCTTAAGTTTGTCTACTCATTGATAGATGGTGCTGGATGTTGCAATTCGAATTTAAATTAATGAAAATTGGTAATTGTATACTTTTTAACGAAACATAAGTGAATACAGAGCTATAACTGCTATAACGTACTTCGTATTTCATGTAAACAGTTAATAAAAAAATTAGAACATTTATTTTCTTTTAAATTTCGAACGCACTCTCTCAGCTTGTCAATCAGTTGGCAATACTTGAAATTGAAAAGCGCAGTCGCACTTGTCATTTTCAGCTTCCGCTGCCACTACAAATCTTCATTTGCAGACAAAAGTATTCGGCTTCAGTTCGTCGTGCGGCAACTGCTGTATTCGTTGCAACTTTTTAGTGAGTAGAACCGTGTGTGCAGTGATTTTAATTAAATTTTTCACAATATGAGCTGGCAGGATTACGTAGACAAACAGCTCTTGGCTTCGAAATGCGTTACGAAAGCCGCAATTGCTGGTCACGACGGAAATGTTTGGGCCAAATCAGACGATTTTCTTGTAAGTACGATATTTGAACATTCAAAGATTTATAAATCTATTTCTAAAAAGTGTTAATTTTGTAATAAGAAATCAAATTTGCGAGATTTTACAAACAAAAGAAAGTAAGGGCTTGGTCCGGGTCCATTTTTGTGGTTTTACGCCACAGTGGGATTTCTTTGCGTTTAATACAAGATTAATTCGCTTTAAAGAAGTTTTTAATTATTTCTAGAAGTTAAATTTTGCTTTATTTAACGAGTTTTTGCAGAAAAAGTTGGCGAATAGCCGGTTTAAAAAACAAGATGGCTGCCTCGCGAATGCGACGTGTGTGAATTCTGAATATAAAATGTTGCTTTCGTGATTAATTTACAACCCAACGATATGGTATTTTATCCACTGATAATACTTATTTTGCACATCATAAACTTAGCTTTTATATAATTTTTGTTTGAACTTTAGAACTCGTTATGAATTAATGTATTCCAAAAACCATTAGGTAAGGTGTAAGGTACCTTAAAAAAGCCCATTTGAATTTGTTTTTTTGCAGCGGTAATCTACGGATTTATGTATTTTTAAATATTGAATTAATACTTATATTGTTACAATGATAGGACGTCATGTAGGTTGGTTTAATAACGGAATCTTGGAACCAGTTTTGACTTTTTTTTGAAGCTCCTATTGGTATCTCGATAAATAAACCTGCTGATGTGTAGATACATTTATTCGTTTTTACAAAGCTGTCTTGATCAATTCGGTCCATTTATGGCAGACTGTGGAATTTGATATAGCTTAGAAATCACATTCTTCTGCTGACTTATCGTACCCACTAGCTATCAAATAACTTTCTAATTAATGATTGAAACCGATAAAAAGTACGATTTCACGTTTTGCACTTCTCCGCCCTTCGTTTGACACAACGAAACGTCAAAATCATAAGGGAGTAGGTACAAAATAGTCCTTCAACTTGAGTGTGCAGTGTTATTGATCCAAAATGGTTAGATAGACTGGTCAATGTTCTGTTAGCCTTAACCTTCAAGTTTATCAGACTCGATTTTTTTAATTGCCATCGAAATCAGTCATAATAAAAATAGTGTGCGATGTTTACTTGCTCATTCTTATTTTTAATTTGTGGGTTGAAGGACGAAAACGTTAAATTAGTGGTTAGAAATTGTAAATCTGTAAAATGATAAAGAAATAAGGTGAAAATCGCTGGTAAAAACATAATGTGTACCTTAAAATTAAAAAGTCGTGGCTACTGCTCCGACCAACGTCCAAATACCTATTTTATTTTGATTTAGATAGGTTTTTCACATTTTCAAATGAGAACCTTTCATGAGTCGGTAGACATATCATGTCCCTTTAAATCCATTGAAGAGTATACCTACTGCATTTCATTTTATGGATGTGAAATTTATGTAAAAGTCATGCCAAAGAAGGCAGCAACACCTCGGGAATTTTGAGTTGAAACATGCCACATTTTTAGGCTATTTTAAGGCTTTTTTTATACCCTATCCTAAAATTTTATGCTCCTCGTTTTTTTGTAAAAATCAAAGTGCTCTGCTAGCTTCGAACGAAGTCAGCAGTTTTTTAGGCTATTTTTAGGCTCTTAAAATATTAGGCATAAAACTTTTGGAAAAATGTTATTTTTAAAAAATACAGGCTGCTTTGCTAGCTTCGAACGAATCCAGCAGAGCACCTCGGTTTCTTAAAGCTTTTTTCTAAAAACAACTACACCACATTTTTAGGCTCTTGAAATAATATAAATTATTCAAAAAAAGGTTTCTTTTATTTATTTTCTTTTCACAATCATGAACATATTTATGACATAACCAGTTACATAATGTTCAACTTTATGTAACTCAAAGTAGATAGATCATTTGGACACTCGCTGCGATTACAAAAATGTCACTTTGTAAGTCAAATTAGAAGAAAATTTGTATCAAATACTTATTAAGATTAGGATAGGCTCATTGCAAAAAACCCTTAATTAACAAACATTTTAATTTCCACGATTAATTATATCAATGCGGAAAAAATAATCGAAATCAATGATGAACAATATACAAATAAGTTGTTTTAGCTGGGATTGATTGATTCAAAATTGGTGTAAATACCAATTACAAGGTAGTGTCCGTGTTAAAAATTCCATACCTGTTGATTATATTAAAATTGCAAAGTAAATGTTCAAATCAAATCTAAATATCAGTCATATCATAATATCTACTCATATGCAGAGTCTTCAATAATAGTCATATCTCACGTGACTAAATTGACTAAAAGTAACATTAATAACAATGACCTATTTGACATAATTCTATTGTTAAATAAGTAAATCAGTAAGAACGGCCTTTTTTCAGTAAATTTCTTGTTTTATATGTAAAAATTACTATAAAATTATAAATCTGTAAATTGAAAGCAAAAAAAAGATACATAATTGAATAAGTAATTAAACTATTAAACCTTTTAAGTAATAAAAATATATTTCCGTCTATGGGCGGTATATCAAAGAGGTCGATTTGTTGACGTCCGACAAGCAACCCCTTCCGTAGACCATTTTTTTTTCGAGTTCATCAAACAGAAGCCGAACTTGTTTCTGTATTTGCGGTATTCGGTTATTAAGGTACCATTTCGGTAGACGCGTCAGGAGACAGGAGACCACCGAGGCGACTCAAAGGACGACAAATGCATAAATGTTACGCTCCGTACATTTCGGAAGCTTGGAGACGGGTCGCGAGACACAGGATAACCATTCGAGGGAACGATCAGCGTTGCCAGACCTACTGTTTTTACGTAGATCCACTGTTTTTGTCTTTAGCAAATTTTGTTCTAATTTTATTAAGTTTGCCTCATTCTTCAGCAAATGGTTAAAGAATATTTTCTCTAGTAAATTTTCTGCAGTAAAAGCAGCGTAATAAGGCATCCACTACTGTAGGTTGGCTCCATAAAAAAAAACATTAAGATAATCATTGTTTTTATTTAAAATGAAACAAAGAATTAATAGGGCATCATAAAAAAAACATGCATATGCCAAACACTACGATTTTGAATTACCTGATTTAGACTGATCTAAAAGAAGTAGGTACCTAGTATTTTTCATTGTTTTTTTTTGTTTCCGTACGTTAAGTATATATTAAAATTGTTATTATTTGTTTTTATTCTTTGTTTACCTTCTAATTTGGGTAGAAAAAAATATTTTTCGTTTCTTATATACTTGTTTTTTTTATTTACTACACTGCAAATTATAATTATTTCCCCTTGTATTAAAATCTACTGTTCAGATCTACGGGTTTTTTTCACCCATACTGTTCCAAAATCTGGCAACACTGCCTAGATCGAAAGAAATTTCCAACCTAATCACCTCCAAAAAGAAGCGATGCCTGGGAAAGTGACCTCGAGGGCGACACGCAGCAAACGCTTTGCCCCGAGACAGATTCAGAAGTGTCGTCAAGAAGTATCGCCTTGACGACACTTCTCGTGTCGCGCCGTGCGAAATGTGTTTCATATAATTGTATGTATTTTAGAAGTGGAGACACTTCTCGGTCGCGTCGGCGGTCGTTTGTCGCGCCTACCAAAATGGTACCTTTAGTTGACCTATTGTGTCGGCAAAGTAAGAAAAAGCCAGCGTCGTCGTGACGGTGTATTTTTTAATTTAATTTATTAGGTTATTTTAAACATTTTAAATTAGATATCACACATTTCAATTTCTACGATTAATTATATTAATTAAATAGATGCAATAAATCATTCTTCAAATACTTTCGATGTTAAGGTTTAAAATTTTATGGTAGATTTACGTAATTTTCAACCCGGAAACTATGCATTGCAATGAGTTGAAAATGTTGAATAGGAGCATGCTCGTCGCGCATGTCTGTATCTGATATAAGTATCTGTCATGTGCAGGTTCCTATTAAATTTTGTTCAGCTCATTGTAAAGTAGATATACTTTCCGAGTAGAAAATTTAGAACCTGTAAGTTTATTTATAAATAAAATAAAACTGGTCAACAAATTATTAATTTAGTTTTAGTAAAGTATTTTAAAAGTTAATGTTTAATAATTTTTAATATCAGTTATATTACCTACCTCTTCAACAATATCCGTCACTTCATTTGCGGTATTTATTTATATTTGTATTTAATACAACTTATTTGCCAACACAATGAGCTCTTAGGAACAGTACTAGTGTGTGATTATTACTAGCATAGGGCACAGTTCAGTTTCCCACTTGACTAAATTGATGTCACCTGTTGGCTAAAAGTAACATTAATAACAATATGTCACTGCCCTATTTGACAGAACTCATATTTAAGTTGTCATAAACCCTGTATTATTTAAAAATAGCAATTTTTTTAGTAAAGTTGTATAATATTTCAAGAGCCTAAAAATAGCCTAAAAATGTGGTGTAGTTGTTTTTAGAAAAAAGCTTAAAAAACCGAGGTGCTCTGCTGGATTCGTTCGAAACTAGCAAAGCACCCTGTATTCTTTAAAAAATAACATTTTTTTTGAAAAGTTTTATATTGTTTTAAGAGCCTAAAAATAGCTTAAAAATGTAGCATAACTAGCGAGGGGCAAATCACTCCCGCAATACGTGTACAAAATGTCCGCAATCCCATTGAAAATCGCCGCAGTCTCATCAAAATCGGTGACAATCGCTAAGAAATCGCCGCAGTCGTTCCGAATTCGCTCGCAGTCGTTCCGAATTCCCTTGCAGTCCCCCGAATTCTCTAGCAGTCACTGAGCAATCACTAGCAATCGTTAAAAATCGCGCGCAGTAAGGTGACATTAACCAATTAGCCATTGTTGATGTAGGGTGCTTTGATTAAGCCATCTAAACCATTTTGTGTAAAGAAATTGCAGTTTACATTTTGAGGCAAGAACTATTAAGTTAAATTTACATTTTGGAATTTGAAGGTTTTTTTAGGATAAATTTAGACACTAAATCTACTTGTATACAAAATTTTACAAGGTGGTCAAAAATTGTCCCTTTTCATCTAGTTTTTTTTTTTAATGTATAACAAAATTGTTGG